TGATGTCAAGTACTTTTTTGTTCATATTCGATCTCTCATACAAGTTTTGCTTCATAACAATAAATACCATTGTAATATGCCGTTATTAACAATGAAGGACCTCTTTACAGTGTTCAACAGTAAGGAAGTCCGTTTAAATTAAAATGCAACTGACCCAGGCCGTGGTATTTTCACTTGCTTCCTATGCATTTGAAAGTTGGACCATGAATAGAAAGATTGAAAAAGACTTGATGCCTTTGAATTGTGGCGGTGAAGTTGTTAATGTTGTTGGTAAGTGCTGTCAAGTTGTAGACCCTATGAATGGACAACCTGAACACTGAGGGTGGAGTAGAATACCAAATACACAAAGGCTGCCAAAGAGCAAATAAATCTCTCTTGGACTAAGGACAAACAAAGTGCTTCTTACAGGCAAGGATGGTGAAACGTGGTCTCATATGATTTGGGCTTGTTAACAAGATGGGCCAATCCTTGGGGGAAAAAATCATAGCAGGAAAGGTTCAGGTTCAGCAAAAGAGAGGGCTACCTTCAACAGATGCATTCATTCAATAACTGCAACAGTGGGCTTGAGCATGGCAGAGATGGGGATTTTGCAGATAGGGCAATGTTCAGATCTGTTTTCCAGAGGGTTACTATGAATTGCCGTGAACTCAATAGCACTCAAAAACTATATATGAGCCATTCTACTATTCTGAAAATTAGTTCTATATAATTGAAAGTCTCTCATATCATCAAAGCTTCAGACTGATTCGAGTTAGTTCAGCCATGACTGATAAAGGAAAATCAGAACAAATTCAGATTTATACAAGATGAGTACATAAAAAAAAAATAACCCGAGGATGGGGGTAAAAATAAATCTTGAAATGACAAGAGTCTAAAGAAGCATAGAAAGACCTTTTTTGGAGCCTGATGCAGAAATTGTATAATGACAAGAGTCTAAAGAAGCATAGAAAGACCTTTTTTGGAGCCTGATGCAATACTGTATAAAGAGATCAGAACTCAAAATGCTGTAGCTTTCATCCAGTTTGAGAGGACCACTGTTGTTTCCAGCTCTGTGATTCATGATAAAGAAGCTTGTGAATCATAGCAGCCCTATATGTACAACAGCACTGAGCCCTGCTCTATCTTGACCCAGCCTTACTGTCTCCAACACACCCAACCCTATTGCACCAGTCACTGAGTCAATCCATCTCATTGAGGGTCTTCCTCTCCTGCTCTGTCCCTATACCCTTCCAAGCATAATGTCCCTCTCCAAGGATTGGTCTCTCCTTGCAACATGCCCAAAGTACATCAGATGGAGCTTCAGTATCCTTGCCTCCAAAGACAAGCCTGGTTTCACCCTCTGCAGGACAAACCTGTTTTTTGCTCCTACCAGAGTTCATAGCTAATGTGTTAATGTGCTCAATTCTTAGTCAATTTGGTAAACAGCAAGAATAGAAGATACTATGTAAGGATATACTTTGATCTTTTTTTAGGAGAAAGTATGAAAGCAACCTCTGGGAAAGGTCTGCATCTAAGAAGTGTGTGAGAGTCTTAATTTAAAAAAAAAATCTTATTAAGCATTACTCATTGTATGTACTATCTAAGAATCACTTAACAAGGTCAAGTTTACACTGAAATATGGGGTCATTTGTTCCTGCACAGGGTTCATACCATCTTATGGGCAGCACTGAATTCTGCCTTTCTGGTTAGTCAGGAAATATATATCTCCCAGTAGGAGAGAGTCATTAAATGAAGATGATGTATCAGTTGTGCTTCAGGAGTCCCATTATGAAAATTACAGGCTTAAATCTGAGCCTTAGGGGTTAATGAGCAAGCAATTTACTGTAGCCTTACTACCCAGGGGAATATTTCCCTATTAATACATTCGCTTAGCCTGATTTTTCTCACCTTAGGGACTATATATAGGAAGCTCACATTTTCATTGGCTAAAAAACTCAAGCTTTCTTATATCTGGAAATACCTTCTTCTTCTCCCATTATGTTATTTTTCCCCCCAGGGTATTTCTTTTACCCCAGTAACTCTTCAGTATTCTGGAGCCCTTTGTCCTCCTGACCAATTTTTATTTATCCTCTGGCATATAAATTAATTCTGTGAAGAGTTCCAACTTCACTCTCACCTGCATTACTGCTTTGAATTGTTATTGTTGTTATGTGCCATCAATTTGCCTGTGACACATAGCAACCCTGTGTACAGAAGCTCTCACATCTGCCTTATCTTGAGCCAGTCTCACTGACTCCAACACACCTACCTCCATTGCCCCAGTTATTGTATCCGTCCATCTCATTCAAGATCTTTCTCTCCTGCACTGTCCCTTCACCCTTCTGAGCAAGATGTCCTTCTCCAATGACTAATACCTCCTGGCCACATGCCCAAAGTCTGTGAGACCGAACTTCTAAATCCTAGTCTCCAAGGAGAAACTTGGTTTCACCCTCTCCACGACCTATTTTTTTTTCCTTGTCAGTCTGTGTTCAATACTCTTCTCCAGCACCACAACTCAAAGGCATCAATTTTTCTTCAGTCACCCTTAGTCATTGTACAGCTCTCTGATGCATAGAAAATGATTGGGGAGACCATGGCCTTGATTTGATACACCTTGGTCTCTAGACTGACATCGTTGCTTCTCAGTACTCTGGAGAGGTCCTGGAGAGCAGACTTTCCCAATGCAATTCATATTTTTATTTCCTGAATGCTGGTGCCAAGAGTGTTGACTGTGGAGCCATGAAAGCTATTAACTATTAACAACCTCAATCTCTTCTCTGTCTATCATAGTGTCTATCATAGTGCTGCCAATGGCCCAATGGTGAGAATCTTAATTTATTGATGTTGAGGTTCAATCCATATTGAAAACTACAGTCCTTGATCATCTACAGCAAGCACTTAAGGTCCTCCTCAGTTTCAGTGAGCAAGGTTGTCATCTGCACAACATAGGCTGTTGATGAGTCTTCTTCCTCCAATCCTGATGCCACATTCCTCCTTATAAAGCCCAGCTTCCAAAATGATCTGTTCTATATATAGATTGAAAAGGTATAGAGACAGGATGCATCCCTGGCACACTCCATTTCTGATTTTGAACCATGCAGGGTTTTCTTGCTGTATTCTGAGGACTGCTTCCTGGTCCATGTATAGGTTTCACATAAGCACAATCAAGTGCTCTGGGATTCCCATTTTCATCAATGTTAGCCACAATTTGATGTGATCCACAGAGTCAAATGCCTTTGCATAGTCAATGAAATACCAATAGGTCTTTAATTTTAGTTTCTGAACCCAGCTGTTAACAAATCAGCATTTTCAACAAGAGTATCTTCTTGAAGATGGAAAAAATGTCTGGAAAATCCGTATAAGTAGTGTAGTTTCTTGGGAATTACACTATTAACCCAAAGGCTACTACTTTCTGATATTTGAAACCAATGGCACTTCCTAGGCAGTGCCTCCCATACAATTTAAAGCCTCATAAACTTACTTCAAAGAGAGCTCTGGTGTTCTAGTGATAAGGAGCTGTGCTACCATCCCAAAAGGTGTGTGGTTTGAATTGACCAGCTGCTCCATGGGAGAAGGATGGACAAGCTCCTCCTACGCTGTCTCTGAAAACCTGATAGAAGGGCAGCTACAGGTCACTTCTGACTTAACACCAAACAACAGCAACAACAAATTGACTATGGAGTCATCTATGAGTCAGTTCTGACTCAATGATTATGGATTTGAGTTTCAGTTTTATCTCCAGCTCAAACAGAATGCCTGGCAAGTGAAGAGTCCAGAAATGTTTGTGCAATTAAGGTAGTAAATGGACAATATAAAGACTGAGTGGGAAATAGTTTGCTGTAAAAACATATGCAAACAGCCTACTAAATTTTTTCCTAATTTTAGGTTCTATTGATCTTGATCCATCCATGATGTTGGACTCTGGAGAAATTATTGACACAGGATCTGATTATGAAGACCAGGTAATTAAAAGTTAAAATATTTCTATGTCTAAATATGTTTCATTCAGACTTTCACAAGTCTTTCATAAATATTGGAAATAGACATTTCCTCTTATAAATTGTTTACAGGCATTTGACGGTAAGTGATCATAGCCTAGAGCTTTAATTCACTAACTTCAGACCTTATTTATCTGAGACTCCACAGTAGCAGGAAAAGTTTAACACTGAAAGACACATGGAATGGAAATGAGATTCTGTTGCTCAAAATATGGTCTATGTCTCTGTCCCTTCTACTAATTAATCAAAAGTGTTTGCTTATCTACAGATACGGGTTCAGTCTTTGCTTTTCTATTCCTGACCTTTGAAAGGGACTAATGGCCAAGGAAAACACATCCAAGAAGTTAAATATATTTTTCTCTTTGAATAAAACCAAAGAAATGTATCTGGGCCATTTTGTTTTCAACAGAAGATCTCTCCCTGGTGCTATATTTTAATGATTCAAAATAGTTGCAAATGCTCCAATTCGCATTAGACTTTATTTTTTGAAAAGAATGATGTTTGGAACTTCCTTCCATCATTCATCAGTGCTCCTCCACAATGGCTGAAAGCCAAGTGAACATATTCTTGTTGGATCTTTTCCCCAATCTTTAACTATTATATGCCTTACAAATAATGCAAACACATATTGTTGTTAGCTTTGATTGAGCTCAGTACAACTCGTAGTGACCTTATGAACCCTGATCTGAACCCTATTCTATCTTGCGCCATCCTCACACTTCTTGACACACAAGAGCTCATTGTAGCAGAGGGTCCTCCTTTCTTTCTTCAACCCTCAACCCTTCCCAGCATCATGTCCCTCTCCAAGGAATAGTCTCTCCTAATAACATACCCGCAGTATATGTGTCAACAAACAAATATCACTAGTATACAAATGCAGTGTCTGATTATTCAGAAGCTAGTTTCGTGAGCAAGAAGTTGTATCTTTTATATCATACACAAAGAGGAGACATTGACAGGGTGAATTATAACAGCTACCAATATTTCCCATGACTTATATTAAGCACTAAATATATTAAGGGAGTTCTGATGGCCAAGTAGATAAAGAATTGTGCTGCCAACCCAAAAACAGGTAGTTCAAATCCATCAGCTGCTCTGTGGGAGAGATAATGCACAACCTCCTCCTATGTGATTTACTGCCTCTGAAAAACCTGTTAGAAGATCAGCTGTGAGTCACTTCTAACTCAGTGTCAATAAATGAGTAAATGAGTGAGTTATACTTGCTGAACAGCTCAACTCAATTCATTGCCATCAACTCAATACTGACTCAGGGCAACTTTTCATCAGAATTTTGAGTCTATAATCTTAATGGGAGGAGACTATCCAGTTTTTTCTTGTGGAGCACCTGGTGGGTTCCAACTGCTGAAGAGGGTTGGTCTTTAGGTTAATAACACAACATGCTATGGATTATGCCACCAAAGTGCCTTGATAGGTTGACATTTGGGCTAAACTTACATTCCTTTTCTCACTAATCCTTTATCTCTCTAAAAAGAGGTAATTCTTATCTTCATCTTGTTGTTGTTGTTGTTGTCATTGTTGAATGTGCCATCAAAACTATTCTGTGAACCATGTGGCAGAATAGAACCCTCCTGTGAGTACCAGCAGCCAGGAAATTAAAAGATGAATTGCATAGGGAAAGTCTGTTGTCAGAGACCTCTCCAAAGAACTGAAGAGCAACGATGTCAGTCAAGAGACTAAGGTGTGCTTCATTTAGGCCATACTCTTTGCCATTACTTGCTATGCATCAGAGAACTGGACAATGACTAAGGATGAGAGAGGAAGACTTGATGCCTTTGAGCTGTGGAGTTGGGGAAGAGTATTGAATATACCATGGACTGCTAGGAGAGCAAACAGTTTTGTCCTATTTGTGAGTATGAGATAGGAGAGTGTGAGATAAGGCTGCTCCTTGGAGGCAAGGATTCTGAGGCTTCTTCTGATATACTTTGGACCTGTTGCAAGAAGGGATTAGTCCTTGGAGAGGGGCATCATACGTGGAAGGGTGGAGGGGCAGCACAAAAGAGGAAGACCCTCGATGAGATGGATTGATTCCGTGACTGGGGTAATGGAGAGTGAGTGTGTCAGAGACAATAAGATTGGAGCAGGATAGAGCAGGTTTTAGGGCTGTTGTATATAGGGTCTCTATGAGTCGCAAGCACAGCATGAGTTGTGGTGCTGGAGAAGAGCACTGAAGATACCAGAGACCACCAGGAGAACAAATAGGTCTATCTTAGGGTGAAATTCAGTTTCTCCTTGTAGCCAAGAATTTTGAAGCTCTGTCTCACATACTTTGGGCACATGGCCAGTCCTTGGAGAAGGACATCATCCTTGGATGGGTGGAGCAACAGCACAGGAAAAGAAAACCTTGAATGAGATGGATTGACATGCTAACTGGGGCAATGGGATTAGGTGTGTCAGAGTCAGTAAGACTGGCCCAGGATAAGGCAGGAATCAGAGCTGTTGTATCTAGGGTTGATAAGAGTCGATGGTGACTTAACAGCACATAACAATAGGGTTTTCTTGACTATATTCTTTAGGAAGTAGGTTGATTTTTTTTTTCTCTAGCAGAACCACAAGTTTGAATTCCCATACTTTTAGCAGAGCATTTAAGTTTTTATTTTACATGTGTGTGTGTGTGTGTGTGTGTGTGTGTGTGTGTGTGTGTGTGTTTACTGTCAAATCAGATCTGACTGGTACAGGAGCAGTTTGTTTTTCCAGCAGACCATCTGGTGGATTAGAACCGCTCACCTCTGGGATTGCCACTAGGCCACCAGAGCTCGCCGTAGCTGAGCATTTAATTGCTTGTTCCTATAGGACTCTTTCAGAGGCACCTAACAACAATAACAACACAGGACTCTTAGCTCTATTTTACATATAAGGGCACTAAGACTTAAAGAGTGACTTGCCCAAGATGATGATGATGATCTTGATTAAAGTAATGTCAGAATGAGGACTTGAATTTACAGTTCAGTCCCTAAAGCCAATATTATACTCTTTCTCATCTTCAAAGAAAGACCATTCCATGATATTTTTGATCCTTTTTTAATTGCTAGCTCTGAAGTCCCTGGTAGAATCATATACTAATGACCACTATTTATTAAAGGTGAATTGCCAATCCAACGCTACAAACAGCACAAAGAAATGATGAAACCAGCTGACTAAACCAGACGAAGACTTGTCATTAGAACAATTAGAGATAACAGAAAAAATTGACAAAAGACTTTAAAAATGTTAAAAATATTCAAAGCAATAAGTAGAAAGCAAACAACTATTAAACAAGTAATGGAAAGATGGAACATTAAGATATAGAATTGAAAAGGGAAAAATATGAAATCTGGATTAAAAAGATAAATCCCAATATTGTTGTTGAAATAAAGATTCAATTAATAGGTTGACTGGTAGACTAGATTTCGTTTAAAAGAGATTTATTTTGTCTCTGGAATTGCACAAGATCGGGGCTGCCAAGTCAAGGAGCTTGTGTGCGAGGGGTTCTCAAGTCAGCCATCTTTCTCGCAGAGAGCTGAGAAAGTCTTTGCCTTGTTTTTAGCTCTGTGTCCCAAAGTCTTTGTTCTCTGTGGCCCTGGGATGGCCCTGCAGCTTTAGAGGCAGGGACCGCCAAATGGAGGGACCTATATCACCAAGGAAGTTTCAGTCTTCAATTTGTCTTGTTGAGGGTCTTCCTTTCTTTCTCTGACCCTGCACCTTTACCAGCATGATGTCTTTCTCCAAGGACTGGTCTGTCTTGATCACATTCCCAAAGTATGTAAAATGGAGCTTTAAAATCCTAAGCTCCAAGGGAAACTTGGTTTCACCCTCTCCAAGACAGACCTATTTGTTTTCTTGGAAGTCCATGGTATGTTCAAGACTTTTCTCCAGCATCACAACTCAAAGGCATCGATTTGTCATCTGTCATCTTTAGTCACTGTCCAACTCTCTGAAGCATAACAAATAAATGTGAAGACCATGGCCTGGATCAGTCTCTTAGTCTCTAGATTGACATCGCTGCTTTTCAACACTCTGGAGAGGTCCCTGACAGCACATTTTCCTAATGCAATTTGTCTTTTGATTTCCTGACTCCTGGTGTTAAGAGTGTTGATTGTAGAGCTGAGAAAGCTGTAATTGTTAACAGCCTTAATCTCGTCTCCATATATTATGGTGCTGTCAATTGGCCCAGTGTTGAGAACCTTTGTCTTCTTGATAAGCTTCAATCCAAATTGAAAACAGTTCTTGATCCTTTGCAGCAAATGCTTCAGGTCTTCTTCAGTCTCAGCCAGCAAGGTTGTGTCATCTCTATAACTTAGGTTGTTAATAATGAGTCCGCCTCCAATCCTGATGCCACATTCCTCCTCATAAAGCCCAGCTTCCCAAACGATCTTTTCTGCATATAGATTGAAAATGTATGGAGAAAGGATGCATCCCTGGCAAACTCCATTCCTGAGTTTGAACCATGCAGTGTCGCCCTGCTTTGTTCAGGCCTTAGAAAACCCTACGTAGAGGAGAGCACACTTAGAGTAGACTAACAGATATGACAACTAAGACTGAGCCCTCAAATTTGGAAACAAAAAGAAAAAAGAATACGTGTAAGAGAAATTAGTGATTGGTATGTGGAATGTGAAAAGTTGAATGTAGGAAAACTAGACATTATTAAGAAAAAACCAGAACACATGAATATAGACATATGGGTTTTGCATGTTATAGAAAGGTTTACCAATAAAATATTAACTTTTATGTTAAAAAATGAGCAAAAACTAGCCTGGGGCATATTTTGTTCAGAGCAATACCAAACATTTTATCTTTTGGTATTTTCTGCTTTTTGTTAAGAAGAAAATATTATGTTTATGCAGGATCTATTAATTTGAATATCATAGAAAGAATAGCTGTCATTTTCTAGCTTAATGAATTTTTCTACTTAAGTATGTTTCCTGTTTTTGGGGGGGTTACCACCACACTCCCACCCCCATAAATAT